TCCCTCCCTCCCTCCGTCCCTCCCTACCTCCTCCCCTCCCTCCTTTAACGATCGACGGAAGCAAACCTGAGGATAAGAAGCCAATTCCACATGCAGCCCATGATATGCGCGATGAAAATCAGGCTGACCAACATCTTGATCAATGCCCACAGGCTGGGGTTCAGGACGTTCTTGAGGTCATCCTCCTTGCCGCCAATTTTGGACAGCTTCAGGAGCCGCGCCAGCCGCAGCAACCGCAGCGTCCGCAGCAGCTTGGTCGACCGCAGAATTCCGCTCGTGCCCCCCAGCAGCAACATGAGTAGGTCTACGGGTATCGTCGAGCACAAGTCAATCAGAAACGCGCCCTTGAGATAACGAAGCGCGATTTCGCCGGGACTCGTCACCGGCTCCCCGTCTGGAGCGAGATACACGGTCCTGAAGCTCAAGATTATGTCCGACAGGAAGACGATGTCGATGAAGGAATCCGCAATGATCTGCCCTACGCTCGTCGGCAGGTCGAACCCAATGCGGAGCGGGATGTTCAAGCAACCGTAAACAATCAGGATCGTGACGAAGATGTCCCAAACGACCTGCGACGGGGTGGTGCGGCAATGGCAAATGCAGCAAGGGGTTACGCGACTGGGCGATGTTCTGGTGGCAGAGAATTTGGACGTTGTTTTGTGTTGCGGTCGTGAGGCTTGCCATAATGTGCTTGGAAAAAACTTGTCGTGGCACACCGGCCGATTTCATGATATTGGGCACCACATGGCATTTCGCATGATACTCGCCGTTTTTCATGCCTTATTCGTATGATTCTCTGTAGGTCGCACCTTGCGCCTATCGTAAGGATGGATCAGGAACTTCGGGGAGCCAGCGGGTAGTGTATCGTCAGCTTTGAGTATGCCCTCGTCCGCCTCCTGCGTATTGCTCAAAACTACTTCGTCAGCATTCCCGTAATCGATAGATGTAATGGGCCTATGCCCCCCCGCAGCACGGGCAACAGACGAGTCAATGTCCGACCAGAGCCTGGGCCGACTCTTCCACGAAGCGATGTGAGTCAAGCCCGAGACCTCTGAATTCTCCGCGTTTGGGCAAGGCAATGATTGTCCGCCAATTTTCGCCGGCTGCAACGCGTATCCCCCGCTAACCCTGCGATCGCGGGGTCTCCCGTACGCTAGCAGGTACCACAACTCGTGGTGTTTCTGGATTTTGTTGGCGATAATATCGGGGACGTCGTCTTGTAGCACGGCACCATCTGCAGCGTCGGTAGTCACCGGACGAAAGGAGTCCATGGGATCATCTACTCCTTGGGTCGCCGGCAGCGGATCCCCCGCACCCGATACCCTAATACCGCTTGGCTGCCGCTGTTGCCCCCGCCGCCTCCACAGTATCGGTACCTGGGCCACTCGGCCTAGCCCCTTCTGGCGCCGCCTGGGGGGCTCGCGATGGTTGTGGCGCGGGGGCACCATATTGCCGCCATCGCGACCGCCGCTGGTGCCACCAGCGACCGCCGTCGCCGTCGAGTTGCTAGTCTCCCCGAGGTTGGCAGTCTGCCTGCGCCCGTTCTCGATGCTGTTGAAGAGCAGCATCGCATTGCTTCGATGGGTGGCGGTGGTGGCCGGCGGCAGCGCTTCTCTATGCCTATGTCGGCGCAAGGTGCGAAGGTTCCTGGTTGGAGGCGCCCCGCCCACAAGAGAGCGGCCGCGAGTGGGCTCGGCACATTGTCGTGTTGTGGTGCATAAGAGAGCGACGGTTTCATCAACCATTGGCACCACGGCGAATGGGGGGTGTGCTGTACTTCGCGGACCCCCCTAAGGTTACATAGCTCTCTGCTCTGTGTAGAGCTCTGTGCCCTGGTGCTGCGCAGGGTTGTGTTGCTCCCACACGCAAGGCAAGACCTGAGGACAACCTGCTGTATTGCGCTACGGTGAGCTCTGCCTAGAGATGTATGGCTTAGTTTTTGGTCACCGCAAGCTGATACCCGCCTGCCTGCTGTTCTGCTGAACTGAAGTCGTGTCTCTGCGGCTGTCGCCCATCCCGACTGCTGTGCGCGAGCCCACAAGCATGATACGAGTACGGCAATGTAGACCAATGTCCCTTAGGCCTCACGCAGAGTTGGCTGCTTTCAGCTGGCACACATACTAGAAGGTGCACCATGCACATAACCTACGAGGGTGTTTGCTTTCTTCGCAGTTTGTCTCATTGCAGAATTTGCGCCCGAATCCTTCCTCCCTTCCGTTGGCCGAAGAGTTCCTCCGCCTTTTTTCCTTTTCGGAACACCTACAGTATCTTCTCGCGATAAAAATATCTCAGGCAGGAACCGCAGGAGGGGGTCCAACCCCCCCCTCCTATGTGACCCCGGTTGGGCCGTCTAGCTGGCAGAAGTGGAGGATAGGGGCCAGAGGGGCAGACGACAGTGTCCAATGATGGGAGAAAAAAAAAAGAAAAGTACCTGTTGTTGTCGCTCCTGCTGAGAGTCGAGAGCTGAATACCGCAGCCATGAGGGGTAGGGTCTTCCCTGTGAACGGGCACCCTTTTGGTTGCGATTGAATAGTCACCGGTCGCCCCGGTGGTCTAGTGGTATCCTCGTAATCCGCTAGTAGAAGTCGTGAGTTCGAATCCCCATGGGGTGAAAAAAATACGAATTGTGCGGGTGAACGCGAAATATAGCTGACAAGCTCTCGTAAGTACCAAACTTCGACGTTGGAACCGTTGACGTGGGAAGGGGACGGCTGGACCCTTCTCGCGATAAAAATAAAATTCAGCACGCACCGCAGGAGGAAGGTGGGGCATGAAAAGAAATACAACTGGAGTAAAACGAAGAAAAAAGCCCTGGTGTTTACCCCCTTCTGTGTGACCCTGGATGGTTGTAGAACACGTCTCACCACGAAAAATGGGGGGACTGTCGCCATAATAAATAGGACGCAAACGCAACAGTCATATGCCATCGTTGTCGATTTGCTGCCATGCTGACACTTCACTCCACTGCCACATGGTGTACTTGACCGTGGTAGACGAAGGAGCCGTTCCGCTACAAGAAATAGCAGCAGGACTCCATAGCGCTCACTACATACAACCATGGCGAGCAACGTCAAGCCGTGCGTGGACCACCCCTCTTTCGTGTCCCACTGGGCGCCAAACCCGTCCACCGAGCGGGGGGACAACCTCGTCTTGGGCACGCACCCGAAGGAGCCCAAGATCATCTACCCGAGCGGAAAGTTCATCGTGGTGAGGGACGTCAAGGATCCCACCGACGTGTTCGTCTACCGAGGCCATAACTCCAAGACCACCGTGGCCAAGTTCTCCCCGAACGGGTTCTGGGTGGCCTCTGCGGACATCACCGGGAAGGTGCGGTTGCAGCACAGCAGTTGGCGCGGCAGAGAGAGAGAGAGTCAGTCGCCTTTGTCGTAACGCATAGTAGTTCCTTTCCATCAGAAGTGCTATGTATCGTCAACAATCTTGTTGACCTCTGTATCCGTTGCTCAAAGAGAGAGGGATAGATTTGTGTACAACTACGTACAACAACACAGCAGTGTTTGGGAACAGCCATGCACAGGCAGAGCTGGGGACCTGCTGTTGTGTCAGCTCGAATGAACGTTTCCAAGCGAGCAGGACGACGTGTAATACGTGCCGGTTGGTGGTTAGAAGTGACATTTTGTCTTTTCCTCTCGCAGCTGTTGTACTTTGCCGCCGAATCCTCGCACCTGGTTGGCCATGTCCATCGCCCACTCCTTGATACAATGCCTACACATCAACTGCTGTCCAAATGCCCCCAAAACCAATAAGGTGCGGATTTGGGCGTGGGACAACCCGGAACACCAGCTCAAGATCGAAGTCTTCGGCCTGGGGGGCGCTATCAAAGATCTCGCATGGGGGCCAGAGAGCAAGCGGATCGTGTGCTGCGGGGCGGGCTCCGGGGTGAACGCTCGCGCGTTCATGTGGGACACCGGGAGCAACCTCGGGGAGGTGGTGGGCCACAGCAAGCGGGTCATCAGCTGCGACTACAGACAGGTCCGGCCGTACCGCGTGATGACGGGGAGCGAGGATCACCGGACGATCTTTTACCAGGGGCCGCCGTTCAAGATGGACCACTCCAATAACAACCAGCACACCAACTTCGTTAACTGCGTGCGGTTCAGCCCCGACGGCAGCAAGATTGCCACCTGCTCCTCGGACAAGAAGGTAGGATAGATAGTCCTTGGAGCTTTCTTTCTCGCCCGCGAACTTGCTGCATCTGTCTCGCCCGCACGCTTGCGGTATCTGTCGTCGCTAGCTAAATAGCCCTTTGGTTTCGTCGTCATTTTCTTTTAGACATTCCTGGATCAACAGCAATCACCCCATCTCTCGTTCGTAGGCGAGTCACCGTCAAGTTGCGAGTTAACGCACGGTCCGGAGTTTCCGCACGGTCCGGAGCCGTCGCACAGGGGTGCCATGAAAAAATGCCATCATTGTTTAGTTCGATTTCCGCACAGGGTCCGGAGTTACCGCACAGGGGGGTGCGATAACTCGCAACCTACAATAGGGTAGTTGAGTGCCAGCGATTTCGAGGCAACTTTCACCCCTGCAACAATGCCAGTGCTGGCATGTAGCTCTGCTGTATGGGTAGGTAGGTCATCGTCGCATACCACACGTGGAGGTATGAAGGAAATGAAACACATTGGTTTTTCCATTGGATCGGTAAACTTGAACATTGTCCATTCAACCAAAATACGAGAAGAAACAGCCGCCATCAGCCAAGACAACAAAAACAACAAGATTGTGGGTCGCGTGTAGGCACAACTCGACGGTGGGAAATTGCCCGTCTTTCCCGCCCGCGGCATTTTGTATTTCGCCGCGTTTGATTTCGCCGCTTGTTTGTGTGTGTGCGTGCGTGTGTCTTTGCTTTAGCATCGACCGCGCTAACCGGCGGACCAATGAAAATACGTCAGTCTTCGTGCGGTTGAAAACACAAAGCATTTCTATCTGCCATGAATTGGGACCCCGTGAGGGGGCAGCATGGGGGAGGCTAAACTATCCTCCGGATCAAAGACAGAAACGGTAGCAATAGAAGAACACTGCACGCGTCTACCATGGCTGTAACCTTGCACTCGAGTTTATTTTGGAGTGCTTTCACCACTATCCTCCTTGCTTTCACCACCGTCATCATCATTCTCATCATCCTTTTCACAGCAATGTTTTGGCAGTTCTTCCCTAGCCCTGCGTCTTTTGTTGTGGGGAAGGTCATCTGGCTCAAACTCTTTGCTCTCTTCCTCTCCTCCATGTTTTCCTCCTCCATCGCCGTCTTCGTCCTCCTTTCTTCCCTTTCCCTTTCCTTGGTGTCCGTCACTCCCAAAAGAATTACCCTCATTACTATTGTTGTCGCAGAGATCCCAGCCGATTGGCCGTGGTGAAAGTTGGTCGATCAGTAGCCCATGACGATTGAGCACATCGCGCGTTCGCACCGACAGAACACGAGCTAGCTCGAAGGTAAACCGTCTCCGAATCCTATTAGTGTTGTTGTTGTTTTGTTGTTGTTTCTCACATTTGCTCTATGGTCCACAAAAATGGGGAGCCCGTGGTCGCATAAACCCGGCACATACGACGCCCCGGGAAAACAAGGCAAAAATAGGGCACAAACCACTCGGAAAAGAAAACAAAATGATTGAAGGAAAAGACCAGCTACCGTACCATTCGAGAAAAGAGCCCTAGAAGACCGATCAAAATCAAAATGAAACAAAACAACATTAAAGATAAATAGGAGGACGCTTCCCACACCCGCCTGTGTGTGTGTGTTTGTTTTTTCCTCCCATCATTGGCCTCTGTCGTCTGCCCCTCTGGCCCCTATCCTCCACTTCTATTAATACCAGCTAGACGACCCAACTGGGGTCATCTGTGTGTGCTTTCTCGAAAACCTTCATCCACCGTGCTAATTGCTGTGGTTGGCTGACGTGCGCGTGTGTGTGTACGTTACATGTCGAGCCTGCAACCACAGCACAAGTGCGGTGTCCGTGGGTCTGCAAAGTTTTTTCTTTCAAGCACCGTACATCCCGGAGTTATCGCACAGGGGTGTGCGTTGAAAGTTCTTGATAATATCGCCTCCAGGACTTACTCAGGACCGCACTTACCGGAGCCATCGCACAGGGGTGTACGTGTATCAAAATCAAATGATTTAGTTCGATTTCCGCACAGGGTGTGGAGTCATCGCACGGTCCGGAGTCATCGCACCCCTGTGCGATGAAAATTACATGGCGAAATATTTAAAAAACGACCGCACGGGGGTGCGCTGACTCGCAACGATACAGTATGTTTTTACGTTTTTTGCGTTGCGGAAGACTTGTTTCGTGAATCGTAATCAAACAGGCCCCACCCAATCAATCGAGCGAGATCTCTCCCCCAGCTTTCCCATCCCATGTTCCTGTTTTTCACCTCGACTCCTCCACCCCCCCCCGCCGACCTCGTCCGCGAACACCTCAACAGGTGTGGATGTACGACGGGAAGACGGGAGAGCCGCTGTCCACCCTGGGCGAGGCAGCGGGCGCTCACGCGGGCTCGATCTACTCGCTAGCCTGGAGCCCGGACTCTTCGTCCGTAGCGACCGCCTCCGCCGACAAGACCGTCCGCCTCTTCGACGCGGCCTCGGGCGCTTGCACGCACACGTGGAGCATCTCCGACTCCCCGGGGGTCGGAGACATGCAGGTGGCGGTGGCCTTCTGCGGCGAGCACCTGGTCTCGGTCTCCCTCAACGGCAACGTGAACATGCTCGACGCCGGCTCCGAGCGACCCCGCGACGTGTACCAGGCCCACCAGGGGGCCATCACGGCGATGACCCGGAGCCCAGTGTCCGCGGGGGGCGGGGCCGCCGCAGGCAAGATCTTGACGGGCTCCTTCACGGGCGTTCTGTGCGCGTGGGACCCTGCCACCGGCGGCGCGAAGCGCTGCACGGGAGGCAAGACCGCCCCGGTCACCGGCGCCGTGCACAGCAACAAGGTCACCGGCATCGCCGCCTGCTCGGCGGGCGTCGTGTCCGTCGGCTGGGACGACACCTTGCGGCTCGCTCCTCTCGACGGCGAGAGCGGCGGCGGCGGCGGCGGCGGCCCCGTGTTTACCGCGTCGGTCGGGACGACCGGCCAGCCGTGCGGCGTCGCCGCGAACGCGGACTCCGACCTCGTGGCCGTGGCCACCAACCAGGGAGTCACGCTCTTCCGCGGCACCACCCCCGCCGTCGGCTTGTCGGCGACGTATACGCCGTCCTCGATCGCCATGGCCCCCGGCGCCGGCGAGATCGCGGTCGGGTCCAAGGAGGGGAAGATCTACGTCTACGAGACGGCCGGCGACGAGCTGAGGGAGACCAAGGTCGTGGACGGCCACCGCGGGGAGGTGACCTGCGTCGCGTACTCCCCGGACGGGACCCTCCTGGCCGCCGGGGACGCTGCGCGCGAGGTGACGGTGTGGCGAGCGGGGGGAGACTGGGACGCCGAGGTGCGGGGGCTGTGGCAGTTCCACACGGCGCGCGTGGCGTGCCTGGCGTGGTCGCCGGAGGGAACGCACCTGGCTTCCGGCGGGCTCGACGAGAACGTGTTCGTGTGGAACCCCGCAAAGCCGAGGCGCCGTGTCCACTACACGTTCGCCAACAAGGACGGCGTGGAAGGGCTGGCCTGGCTGTCGGACGGGGTCTTGGCCTCGGCGGGCGGGGACCACTGCGTGGCGACGTGGGACGTCACCAAGGACATTTCCGTGTTCGACACCTAAAATCGTTGTAGCGCCCTTTCGTGTTGGTCCCGGCTGGCTCCCCTATTCCCGTCGCTTCGGGGAGCTTGTGTTTGTTTTCTTCGGAGGTTCGTGTGCGGCTCATTTCATACACACCGTGGGGACGAGGCGTGTGCTTGATTGCTTGCGCGCCCCCGTAACGTTGAGAGGCCGCGCCAAAGGCGTGGGCAGCAACGATATTCCTGCGAGTATGCAATCGTGCAAGATTTTTCTGCGAGTATGTAAAATGTGTAAGAGTACCATTTGGACGGTCGGCGGAGGAGCACAGACGTGTGGGGCGTACAGAGTTTCTCGGGGTTTTGCAGCGAGCAAAGGCGTCGTTGGTTTTCAGGTGTACCGACACAAGAAGCTGTAGTCGCAGGTGCTCGTGTAAGGCTTAGGGAGGGGGTAACAGGACCGGCGGGAGTAGCAGGGCGACAACCTGAAGAAGCCGGAAGAATATTGGGCATCTTTGTTCGATTCATCAGGTACAGAACGCCATCGATAGCATGTCTACGAGTCACATTTGTTCTTTTCGGCATATCTGAGGAACATGTGCCGCCGGGAAGGAGCCCATTGTTCTCGGATTGGCGACAAAAAATGCTGATACAAGGAAGTTTTAGTATCGACGAGTCAACCCGAAAATGGCCGATAAGCTCTCGGGGATGCGAGACATGTAGACGGGCGCGATGCGTGATTTGTCCCGAGCAATGTTAAAGCTCACTGAATCCAAACCGGTTGCACCACGGTCTTTTGTCTTTCGCAACCGAAGTCAAACCGTTAGATGTCGGCGCTAAATGGTCTAATACATGGTTTACTCCGAGTGTGGTGGACCGTCATACGCCCGTTTCGGTCCTGATGTGGTGCGAAAGCAATCGGTCATAGGTGAAAGTAGTAGACCCTGTGTAAGGCCGCATAAACAAGACCAGTCGCCCTGTATGAGGTCGGTGTAATCACGCGACTCACATGGTCTCATGCTCTGAATAGGGCCGGGTGTCCCGTTTAAGGCCCGTCGAATCCCTTGGCACTATTCGGCCTTAGACAGGGACCACTACTTGTTCAAAGTTGAGGATCAGCAACAACCTTCCGAAAAACTGAACTCCACAGGAAACAACAAAACTTTCTCAATGGTAAAGGTTGACCCGGCGACCGCGACGCCAAAACCTGCCTTGCGCGTTTGACTTTCAGCGCTCATCCTCCTTCCACCGCCGATGGTCGGGCGAGGCCGCGTGGCACCTGAGGGACCAAGCTGAGACCGTTTAGATCGACTAGATCCGTGACCGCTTCAAAGTAGTCACAAAACTCCTCCTTCGATACCCCCCACTCCTCTTCGCCCCCACCACCTTGCTGCCCCCCACGTGTGTCCCCCTCATCGGTGCCGCAGTCCGCGATAGGATGATTTGCCGCGCGAGCTTCGCTGTCCTGCCCTCTTGTTGCGGCAGCGTCTTCTAATCCCTCCGCAAACTCTGGGTAAATGCACGCCGCGCTGAGGGCCGGACTCGCTCGCCGGTAGCCGTCGATAGCCCCTGCACGCAGGAGACGGATTATCTCACTGGCGGGGACCCGCGGCGCAGCGTCAGCGTCCCGGGTCCCGACAACACCGTTTTTTGTTTCCAGATGACCCCCATCTTCGTGCTGCCGTCTACGAGCAAGCCCCCCCTGCTGCGTCGCATCTTCACGGTTGGAGTTTGGCGGTTGATTTGCGGTGGGGGTCGTGATTCCTTTCCCGCCTTTGCCTCTTGCATCTCCAACTGCGTCGGCCTTGTCGCTACCGAGGGCCGCCTGTGTTGTCGGTGAAACCAAGTTGACGATGGCGTCGAAGGCCTTTTGGAGTACCTCTGTCTCGGTTTCTCCGAGGTCCGGCGGAATGCCTGCTACCGCGGGAATCTCGGATCAGTTCAGGGAACAAATAAATGTCCCAATACGCTAGAAGAAAGAGCACACAACAAGGCGTACCAACCAAATTTTCGCCCCTGACGCGAGAAACGTGTACGTACTTCGGCAAGTGTACGGAGCGAAACGCGTTGACTTTTCTGCTATGTCCTCGTTGCTGCCGCCTACATCATGCGTCACGCAGGAGAGAAGGCCGTTGCCCTCAGGATCCATGAACACCCACGGTCGTGCAACAGACCGCGTGCTCACCAATGAATCGGGCGACGCTGTCACAGGTTGCCTTCCACTCTTCTTCCGCTTTCAGAGAAGAGTTCTGGGCGATCGAATGAGTGAGACAGAATGCACGCATGGATGGGAGTTGTGAGGGATCGGCGTACACGGGTGTACAGCAACACACGTATCCGTACGGTAGCACTTGCTAACAGTTCGCGATGGACTTTTTGGAACCGGTTTGACACGGGTGTACGACAACACACGTATCCGTACGGTAGCACTTGCTAACAGTTCGCGATGTACTTTTTGGAACTGGTTTGTTGCATCCGTAGCAGTGTTACGTGATTTGCCTCGGGTCAAGCTTATCAGGTAACCTCGCGCCGCATGGGTGGGAGCATACGAGCAATATCATGCCGCGCCTCCAACAGAACCCCCCAAAAATGAGTTTTATCTTGAACTTAAAGCACAGCGAGAATGCAGCCCCTCCCTTGGCGGTACTGTGCAAAGTCGAGTTATTCGCGTGATGGATCGCGACATCGTACCTCTGCATCGCTCGTCCAGTCCTCTTCCGATCCGGAGAATCGAGAGGATGTCTCCAACTCGGGTCGTTGTTCTACTGGTTCCTCCCCCCCCCGACGGGGGAACGACCCGTCCGAGCAAAGCGAGGGGGGGGGCGTGAAGCGTACGTCGAAGGTATCATCTGCGTGGCACCTGACGATCCATGCCCGGTATCGCTCAAATCCCTGCGAATGCGTTGAAGTGCGTGAGATGGCTGTGGCAAAAAAGTGTAGAACCAGAACAGCCATCAGAGAGTGCGCATTGTCGTTGGCGGCCACTCTCGAAGTCTCGTTGGTAAGCTGGGTTAGTAGTGCTCAGACCAGCGTTTCTCTTTGGAAGGCTGAGGCCGAGCACGTAGCACTTGGGATAGTGCGAAGGAGGCGCTATTCACAACGGGAGTTCTGTCTTTCACGGCGAGCAACGCCTCCTTCACATCATCCTCAGCCGTCGAGAGAGATACGCTGGTCTGAGTACTTCTAACCCAGCTCACCATCGAGTACCCGAGAGCCCCGAAACCGACCTACGGCCTTTGTTAGACAATTGACTAAAACATAATTGAACATCTACTCATTCGACTGTGGGACACTCGAGGGCTACCCAGCCAGAAGCTACGAACACAGAATGAAACGATTATGCAACGTTCTGGGTTGAAAAAGAGGGAAGTTTCAAACACCTCCAGGTCCGCTTCATACAAATAGCCATCACGTTGTGAGGGCGACGTCGAAGTTGTAGCAAGAAATCACCGGCCACATCTCCGGCTATTGTCCGAGAGAGTGCGGGCAAAGTTCTCAGCATGCCGTCTTCCTGTCCTGTTGTTTCTGAGCACACGTTGGTGATCAAGGGTTGTCCATTACGGGATGCGACAGGGCAACATCGTAGTTTAAGCTATGCTTGTCGCACATCGTTCTCGCGGTACCATGGCCACCGTACCTTTCTATACAGCGCTTCCACTTCTGCCCCTTCCACAAATTCAGCCGGCAAAAGTCGCTTCGAGCGGACATCCTTCCGCTCTACGCCACCCTCCCGCAGCTCCGTGGCGAGCCGCAGGTGCTTCCGTGGTACGTGGCTCTCTTCGTGAAGACTGCGGCTGAAGGCCAGCAGCGCCGGCAAGGTTAGCGTGCGGCCGGGCTGGGCGTCGAGTAGCTCGTCAACCCATGCCCAACGACGGGTTTTCGTCAGCATCCAGAGGGGAACTTGCTTCAAGATCGATTTAACCTGAACGGTCGAGTGGGGTTGGCAACGAGGGTGTGTGGGGGGGTGTAATCATTGTCGTACATGCCGAAGACCTTTGACCTCGCATCCCTACAAAGCCGGGACGGAGCGCGCCGAGTTCTCACCGGACCAGGCTCTCACATCACCAAGGGTGCGTGGGGCGGGGGGAAATAAGTCCAAGCTACGTTCGCGACGGTTGGCAGAATCGACGTTACTGTAGCCTCTGTGACTTGTCTGATCGATCAGATGGGCACGCCTGCCTCGAATATCTTCTGCAGAACATGTGTTGGGCCATCGGCCGTAGGACGTGACGTGGCTTGGGGTCACCCCCGATAGTACCTGTATGCTGGGTTGGATTTCGGTTCCTTTAGTGCCGTTGCGACCCGGCGAAAAGCTACAGTGGGGGCGTGTGAGGCTTGGCACGAATGCAAGCAAAATGTTTCCACAGCGCTTCTACGGCGTGCTACATAGTAGAACTTCGGTGAAGCGTCCGTTGGGATCTACCTGAGCGTTCTCCGTCATGTAGAACAAGACCTCGTCAAGACGGACCTCCCCCCGATGTCGGGCATCCAATATGCCAAACATCTCGGTCAGGAGCTTCTCTTCCAGCTCAGGAACCAACTCCGTCACCTTTCCATCATCATCCCAGTCGTGGTGGCCACGGTCTCGCCAGCCACGGGTCCGTACGCGACGCTGCCGAGTACACATGACACCGCCCCCGTTCCCGTGGCACCGGCGTCCAGCCTGCGTGGACCCCTGCGAAATGCCAGCAGTTCCCCCGACCTTGTAGCGGTAGCCTGCTATACCGCCACCCTGCCAGCCCCCGTCATCGAGCCCCTGTACGCCTAGAAGCAGCTCCTGAGTGCGCCACTGCTCTTCGAACGCTCGCTCCTCCGCCTCCTCTTCGGCCTCTCTCGACCACTGCTGGCGGCGGGCTGCGAGCTTGCGCTCGAAAGAGGACACCGAGCGCGGCCGTTGCCATGAGGGCGGCCTCTTGTTCGAAGAGAGCGGTTCACCGGTGACAGCTGCTCTGCCGGCGATGGGCACCGCAGCAGGCCAGCCTTCCCCAGGTGTTTCAAGCAGGGGGGGCAGGTGCACAGCCTTGGAGACCCCCGAGGGGGCGTTGGCGCCGGCGGGGTCGACCGTTTCGGGTCCTGCAGTTTTCTCTCGGCCGGCAGGGCATGCTCCAGCAGCACCAGCAGCACCAGCAGTCAACGCGTGCACCGAGATAAGACCGTGTTTCGTCGTGGGCTCGGAGAGGTGTCGGGGAGGAACGAAGCAGTCTTTCGCCGGGAAAACCTGATGCGTTTTCTTGCCGCGGAAGACGTGGAACGGGCGGGTCGATGAGCCCTCCATCCCTGTACCCCCGCTGCTGCTGCTGCTACTCGGGCTCCAATCGTTCAGCACTTTCCGACTGCTCTGAGCTGCTGACGCCGCTGTTCCCGCGTCATCACCACCTCGCGACGTTGTGCAAGGAGACTCCCCTCCGCCACCACCACCGCCGCCGCTGCTTCCCCTCCCCGTCCACCTCACCTCCGTATCGCCCATCAGCGAACCGGACGATTGCTGACCCAGTGTTATTCCGTCTAACGAACCACGAGTTGGCCAGGTGTAGTTCATGGCCATCTCTGCCGAAGGTGCGTTGTAGAATATCTAGCGTACAGCGTCGGCGGGCAACACAAACCACGTGTCGGTTTATCGGGCACGAGGATGCTTGATGAAACTCATTTTCGAGCGACGTTACCCTATGAATGTTACATGCGGTCCAACTCTTCTAGCGTTTTCTTGCCGCCATGTTCAAAATAGGTGACCCGTTCTCATCCAAAGACAGCAGTGTTTTACATACAAGGAGGCCGAAGATGTGTACTTTCAAACGGTGTGGAAGGTTGCTAGCTGCTCGTGCCCTTCGCTCTAAATGGACTGGCCGTTTTATCGATGCACTTCTTTCGGAAAGCAGAGAAGAACGTGCACCAATAAGTAATGAATGACTACACACCATATATGTCGCTTAACATCGGACGGATGTTGATATACACTTCCTTATAGAGACCTTCAGCTTACCGGGGGGCAATCGTAGCTTCTATATTTATCGTATTGTAGTTGGCAAAAGTGCGCTATACGGAACGTTGTCCCGTATAAATCTGTTGTACGTACCTCGGACTGAGGGATAAGACCCACACCTCACATGGGATCAATGCCGGTTCCTCGGCCGCTACGGTTGGCTCGAGCCTAAATATTGTATGCATAGTCTACAGTCGTGGCTCCGGTATAAGAGGGTGATGTGACAATAGCCCTTGATTATTCTTTATCGGAGCCCCCTCTTAGACCGGAATAAGAGGGTACCAAACAATACTATCGCTGGTCTAGCGGTGACCACCGAGTTCGACCCTCTCATATCGATCGGAGCCCCCTTTTACAAGGTACCCTCTTATTTCGGAGCCACGACTGCACCTGGGTACGAGTGCAACACGACCTCAGGCGAAAACATGGGTCTGGGCATATTTCCCTGATGATTTAGAGTTTTCTTTATGCTACTCGTTTTCTGGCTGGAACTAAAAAGAGCCTGTGTCGGTGTCGGTAGCTAGTCTACTGCTGTGGGTTTCAAAGAAAAATATTTACCTCGAGGTACTCCCTGCGAGCATGGTCCTCCAGGTGCTCTCTTACGGCGCTCCTAGTCTCCCTTTTCCTTCGGTCCTCCTGCTCCCAGAGCCTGTACCTCTCTTCTTTCTTGATCCTCGCCCTAATTTGCGCACTTAAAAGGTCTTCTCGCTCCATTGCCGCCGTCGCTTCAGCCTGTTCCACCTGGTTCGCAACCAGTCCCCAGAAATCGTCCAGTGCACACTGTTCACCCTCGGCCTTGCTCATGTTTTGACGCTCCATTTCGGCAACGTCGATCGCCCCCGCCGCTCCCTCGAAAAAGCTCCCCATCTTGTTGAACGGGAATTTTGAGTGCGGATTGCTGGGTGGGTGGGAGATACCCGGGTCCTGCCCTCTGAGCGTCGTGTCTACCCACACGACGATGTCCGTGAGCTGCTCCGGGCTTTCCGAGCTCATGGTGAAGAGCTCGCCGGATATATGTACTTGACCCCGCGGAGAGCGTAGCGATAATGGACACGGTGCACAAGACGAGCTGTAGTAGGACCTAAACAGGCAATGCACATCATAAATCAACAACTGCACTCTGTTTGCAACGTGCGGGAGAACGAACGAGACGAGAGAGAACACCAGGGAGCATTGAGCATTGTCTTGGTCGAAAAGAATGCGGCGAAACTACTGACGGTTTCGAATCTCCGAATTTCCAATCGTAACATTGGAGGTTGGTCGGTTTCAGTCGATTCCAGAGCGTCGGTACTACTCAAGACTACAGCAATATGTTAGCAAACTCTTGTGAGCCTGTTACCCACAGGGAAGATATCACTGCTGTATGTAACCCGAGGATTAGCCTAGGGGCAGAAACACAGCACGGGTGGCCAACAGACCGGGTTGTAGGAGGCACTTTTGCCAACCTGAATCGAGCTTATTGGCACGAGTTGCAACCTCCCCACCTTGGGGTAGACTAATCTTCGCAATGCAACGATGGCCAGGTTGTGCAAGTTGTACCTTGCTTGGGGGTGTGCGTTGTTTATAAGTCGGACAGGGGGCAGCCGATGGTAGTGCAAGGTGTACCCTTCCTTGGTGGTTTTGCACTGCTCACAAGCTGGACAGGGGGCGGACTGCCGATGGCCGCGCAAGGTGTTGTACCCTTTCTTGGTGGTTGGTGCGCTGCTTACAAGCCGGATAGGGGTCAAGCTGTCGATGGCGGTGCAAGGTGTACCATTTCTTGTGGTTGGTGCACTGCTTGCAAGCTGGACAACGGGTAGGCTGCCGATGTCAGCGCAAGGTGTACCCTTTCTTGGTGGTTGGTGCGCTGCTTACAAGCCGGATAGGGGTCAAGCTGTCGATGGCGGTGCAAGGTGTACCATTTCTTGTGGTTGGTGCACTGCTTGCAAGCTGGACAACGGGTAGGCTGCCGATGTCAGCGCAAGGTGTACCCTTTCTTGGAGGTTGGCGCGCCATGCACAAGTCGGTTAGGGGGGAGGTTGCCTATCTATGGTATATATAACAAGGTGTACGCTTTTTGCGGGTTGGCGCGCTTCGCACAAGCAGGTTGGGGAGCAGGTTGTCGGTAACAGTGCAAGGTGTACCCTTTCTTGGAGGTTGGCGCGCCATGCACAAGTCGGTTAGGGGGGAGGTTGCCTATCTATGGTATATATAACAAGGTGTACGCTTTTTGCGGGTTGGCGCGCTTCGCACAAGCAGGTTGGGGAGCAGGTTGTCGGTAACAGTGCAAGGTGTACCCTTTCTTGCAGGTTGACGCGTTGCGCACAAGCCGGTAAGGGGGTAGATTGCCGATGGTATTGCAATGCGTACCCTCTCTTATAGATTGCGCATGATGCGGCCGGTCTACAACAGACTGCAGTGCTCAACACTGCTGTAGTAGTAGGTGGCTGGTTCAATTCCCCTGCACGAAGTGTTTTTTTGTTTCATTTGTTTTTTCGCCCCTGTATTGGAACCACTACAATTATACCGTCGGTACATTCCCGAGCAAACCTCTGAAACAACGACATCCCGTGCCCATGCATCAAACACATGACAGAAGCTCTAGCTTAAACCCTTCTCCGCCCCCGGCTTATCATCTCTACCCAGGGTCGTCAATATCCCAAGTTGCACGATTACATGTAAGCGAGAACAATAAAAGGCACTTCAAATTGAAACAATACATCAGTACCCTTCCTTCCGAACGTCGTTCTATATATTGAGTGTCCCCCCACAACAGCATGCCCTCGCCCATGACCGTCAGCGACGTCGATCATGGCGACGACCCACAACCCCCGCAACAAACTACCTTTGTTTGTTGTGAGGAAACACCACTCAGCCGGAGACAACAGCTACATACACGTAGCGGCAGTAGTGTTGTCCAACCGCACAGCACAGGTAGAAACGACCGTCTCTCCCGACACGAAACACAGAACCCCCCCCCCCGCCCCGGCCGTCCCAAATTCTACAACTAACTCTAGTCAAGAAAAAATGTCACTGCCTGAGACGGAGCCAGCTGCGACAGCGGTGTCCTCCAAAAACAATGCAGAGACCGCAGAAATAGACCTCTTTACGTTCCCAACACCATCGAAACAACTCCCTCCTTCCCTCCCACAATTCGCACGGACAACAAACGGCGCGGACGAAGCTAAGAGGCAGCAGTGACAGATTCCAAACGCCCTGGCACACACAATAATACAGTAAGAAAACACCTAGCTCTCATCCCGCGCCAGGCGCCCTCATGCACCAGCGAGAGCAACAACCCATAGCACCATTAATGGTATACAACCATTAATGCAATCGAATAATATACTGTGAGACATGGCGAGCGGGATATTTCTCCGCCTCCTCCGTCAAAGCTTCGACCCGTTGTGAACGCCATGAGGACCTAAGAAAACGCTTTGAACGATGTTGCAGCGGAGATCCCGGCTACTCGGCCTGGAGGTTGCCGATCAGCAGCGAAATAATACTGAAGTGTGAGAGGAGGGTAATAGTGTTCCGTCGAGGAATGGAGGGCATGCTCTCCCCCTTTGCAGCAGTATAGTTCTTGGTATAGCTGACAGATGTGCATTGTCAACAATAATATTTGCAAGCAGGCATGGGGGGGGGGGAGNTCCGCCTCCTCCGTCAAAGCTTCGACCCGTTGTGAACGCCATGAGGACCTAAGAAAACGCTTTGAACGATGTTGCAGCGGAGATCCCGGCTACTCGGCCTGGAGGTTGCCGATCAGCAGCGAAATAATACTGAAGTGTGAGAGGAGGGTAATAGTGTTCCGTCGAGGAATGGAGGGCATGCTCTCCCCCTTTGCAGCAGTATAGTTCTTGGTATAGCTGACAGATGTGCATTGTCAACAATAATATTTGCAAGCAGGCATGGGGGGGGGGGGGGGGGGAAC